TAACTTAGTTAAACCAATCAAATGACAAATGCCAGTTGACTATGACAAACTCTTACTCATGATTGGTGATGTGTCTAACTGTGTGATTTGTTTTCTAATGTTACCTATGTAATCTGTAAACGGCTTGAGAAGGAATTACTGAAAAACAGTTATTTCGCCAAACTGTTTGTTCTGAATGTTTTAAATCATTAATAGAGAACTTACGATGTAAGCGAACATGTTTTTGGTGAATCGCTTTTTTGCATGACCATGATGTAGCATAACGAAGTTCAACTGCGTAATCGAAGGAGCGTACTAATTGGGAGTCTCTCAGACGCATTACCACACACGTGATACTTTTTGTTTGACCGTGCTAAATTTTGTTCCACATAAGTGTGTGACTGTAAAAGCTTGAAAATGAATTCACCGAAAACATGTTTCTCTACATGGTATGCTCCTAAACAATGGGAATATCCATTAATAATATTATTATTCATTATTGTTATGATAATAGCAAACCATTCTCTTGACACAGTGAATAAATTTAATATGGCAATTAGGGGAATAAATAACATTAGATTTCTCACCGTCCGTTCTAATATGCGACGAATAAAACGTATTAATCCAGCCAATTAGAGATGAAACCCCGATCCTCTGAAAACATACACGGAACTGAACTGCGGCTTAAGCATCTCACAAATTGAGAGGGGTACAAATATTTTTTCATAAGTAAATAAAAGTATATGACCAACATTTCTGTTTTTTTATTTGGACCGACCATCCCTCAGACTTCACGAAAATGCACTGCCTGGCAATCATTGAAGATGATACCTGAATGAACATTGATTGGTAATTCGGTTCAGCCTTGGGATTAATTGGTGGTAACACACGCGTATTCCATGCGATGGTTCCGGAACTCAAAGCCCTAACAGGACGGTGAATATGCACTACTGAAGAGTTCTTATAAAAGTGAAATTCGTGTCTTGTGCTTCCAAGTAGATGGTTGACTGGAATAACCGAGGATTGTGCGTAACAATGAGGTTTGGCGGCTGATCAGTTCAAACCAATATCAATTATCCCACACCACTACTCACAAGTGACTGTGAGTTAAGTGTATAAGTATATGTTTTTCCCCAGCTGCATTGCGGTCAATCTACCATGTCACACCCCTGAGATTGACTGTACTTCGTATCTGCTCTCGCTATTGACTTGCATCGACTTTTCTATTTAAGGTCCATTACGCATTACCGAGAATGTGATTAATCATAGTTTGATCATCGAGTTTCCCAGTTCACTTGTCTCTTAAACTTATCGCGAAACGAAGTCGAACATTGGGCGTGTTTTAGATGTCAGCAAAACTGAGCGCGGTAACCATTTGACAACAACCCATACAAATAAGACAGAAGAAACGTACAGCAGCAGCTTGAAATCTAGGTTTGGGAGTCAACATAGTTCTGATGATCTACAGTTCTTATGAGGATCATCTAGGGTTGGATTTGTTTGGATGATGAATTCGTCTTGTAAATGAGGCGTGAGCTAAAAAGCTAGACTGCTGTTTCAACCGGAGGCTAGTGCTGAGATGAGAGAAGTACTTTTTCGGCAAAAAGCTCCCAAAGATGAATTGTGCCGATGTGTTTTTTTTCATGATGGGAAACGATTTGATTAGCTCCCTGGTGGCGAAGTGGATAGCACGCCTGCGTTCGACCTGTGAGATCCCGGGTTCGATTCTCATTTAGGTCTATAGATTCGCACTGCTGATTAAACCAAACAGCCGTTCAGTGCTTCCTAGCTTTTCAGCTCACACCTCATTCAAACAGCGAATTCATCATCTAATCCACGATTCAGTTGTTGGAACCGACAATCCAAGCTCCGGTACCCGATTTGACGATCCAAGTGTAATCTCAATAGATGTGGTACTGAGCTGGGATGCAGCACGCTTGTCTATCACCACCGACGGAATTTAAATTTGGGACAACCGATGAGTTCAGTAAGATTGTTTACTTAGGGAAACTCACTACCGAAAAATGTTTGATACATAGTTTCCCGGTACTTTTGTTGGCCTATACGAAATCAATCACGAGATTATTTGCCAAGTGAATAAGATTTGAACCACCAACTCAGACTTACAGTTCAATTGATGGATTTCGATTAATCCTTAGAAAAACCTGTTAGAGCAGGCAACTTAAATACCAATTGATAGATTCCGTATGTCTCTGCAAGTTGAGTGGTCAGTCAAATGAGAAGTAATCATAATTGACAGTGTCACCGTACTTTAGTTGGTCGAGCATCCATGTGCAGGTTCGAAGCGTATCAACTTTATTGGTATTTTGACAATTTCCACACGAATCAATGCGATTCTGCCAAAATAATTTTGCTTGTCCGTATTGATGTGTATCTATAAAATTAAATATGATTCTTCGAACGTGACTCCGAAGAGCTGGTGAACTGAAAACATTACTAACATCAATTTCGCGTCAGCAGTATGTGCACAAGGCTGTTGATAAGAGGTTGTGTGAACCCCTGCAACAGGTTGGAGTTCTGTTAAAATAAAAGAATCAAACCTCAAGACTATCAGTTGATTGGCGTTCACATTTTGTCCACCTGTGTTATCATCGATCTTCAGTTGAATCGATTACTAATTTATGACAATTCAGCCGAAACGTTCGAAAAAGAACAAGCAATCCAAGTTTCTTGCAGTGCATTGTAGATAGAAAAAATTCACATATGTAAAATACAACAGACACGCATACAGACACACACCCAAAAATAGTCTGTTGTTCGTTTCGGGTGGGATCTTTGGCAATCTCAATCTGACTGCATCGACTCGATCAAATGTATCCCTGTGCATGTGTGTGTGTGTGTTTAACGAGTCCGGGGTGGGAGCATAGATTGACATGCGCCTCACTTCACATCACAAAGTAATGCAACCCCACGTAGAATCCAGTGATCCGGGTCACTAGCACTGCGTAGCATCAGTGGGAAAATGTAATTCAAGTCCGTACGTTTCGGTTTCTTGTACACCGGACACGAGTAAAACAGTCCCGCTTTGGCTTTCTCTCCTACAGACATGGAATAAGCGGAGACATGGACCACGGGCAACAGAGTGTACAACAATTTGGGTGGAGGTTCCATCAGTCGGGCTTGTTTGCGATCCCAGCCCGCACCGTCCAGAGACAGACCATGAATGTAGACTCCTTCGGTCGGGCCGCGGAGCACGTCTTCACGCATCATTTTGGTCACATCGTTGGTCAGAGCGACGTCATCCAGGGCGTATTTGTTTGCTCGAGCTACTTCTTGACGCATCGCGGTCAGGAAACCCTAGAATTTTACAATAGGCAGAGGAAAGTGTTCAGAACAGTATACACGAATTATACACATATATTCGTACAATAAAGGATTATTGGATGAAGTATCGTATTTCGGTTTTTCATTCAGGTACATTTTAGATAATCAAAAATGCGAGAGGGGAGATAATGCAAAAGTATAGGGGGAGGGATGTAATACTTTGCCGCTCAGGGTATTCGATTGTCTCACACATCCGTTCAGGGGGGCTTTGTGCTGCACAAAGGGCATGTGTTACGCATGTCGCCAAATAGGTTGCCACGGTGAGATAGCAGTTGAAAAAGGTCAAAGGTGATCACACAAAGACCTGGCATGAGGGTATGAAAACTCTAACCAGCAGACTAGGTCATATAGGCCCCGTTAGGCTTCCTGTCTGGGGACCCCGAGATGATGGTCACTGATGGTTAGCTACACTGAGTGATATGGCTGGGTGTCGCAAACAGTGGCGCTTGTGCATTCACTCGTTATTCTCCTAAAACCACTCTATATGAATTTTCTATCATCCGCTTGAATTTGCTTACCACATTCCAATTTTCATTCTGCTCTTTTATCCAAATGGGGCACCAAAAGACAGCAACCAAAACCGGCCCACGAAAGTGCATGGTTAATGGTTGCAAAAACTGAAATTGAAACTGTCTTGCACAGTCCAACGAAAACATTGCAGCGCCAATTGAAGTTGCACACCAGTATGACAAAAACGTGCGAATAGTTGCCGCGGCGTCTTTGGTAGGCTGTTACGTGCTCCGCACACACACGTTGAATTGAAACAATGCAAATTACAAACCACACACGATCATTGTGTGCCCAAGAGTGTTTGAATGTTATGATTCGCTTATCTTATTCTTAAAAAATGATAGGCGGATTATTTGAAAAGACCGTTCATTTCTTAGTGTTTGATATTTATACTGCAGTATTAACAATTTCAGTGTATCACGTGTTTCTGGGACTTATAAGTTAATGTACAAAGTGGAACTGTCTGTCAAAATTGGATTTCCAGTGACAATTAAGTTTCTTAATGGGGGATCCGTCTTCATGTTTATCACATTTCATGGACATAAAAGATACCCAATGCTAACGGATTCCAATAGGAATAGTTTACCTATCCAGTGTTCTTTGTTAATCTTTACAAATAAATCACGTGCATCACACACACTGTACACAACCACACACGCATACACACACGGACAATACTAACTAGATTTCTTAATTCACTTCATTTGTCTATCTTGTTCGATGTTATACGTACGCGACCGATGAGAGTATACGAAAGGAATTCCTCTCGCAGTGTTTGTCTTCTGACTTGCCTGTTCAAATAAATTGTGTCAATCACTATATCATAACTGAACGGGATTCAAAAAGCCGAACGCTTCGTGGCACATTACATAGCTATGCATATTTGTCAATATTTCATTACTTTTGGTATTATCGGATATCTGTGATCCATTTAAATACGTGTGACAAACATTGTCATTGAGCTCAACGGCGATATTTACTCAATTACAAATTTTGCTGAATCACTGAAGGAAATTAACAGAATCTGTAGTATGAAGGAATAAAGAATTGATCAGCCGATCAACATACTGATATGTATAACAGCGAATCGCGATAGTGACTTTATCTGATCGAAGTAGAAAGAAGGAATGTACCGGAATGCGAAATACGAAGTTAATACAGTACATCTAATTCTTCTTCTTATTATTGTTATATTATTATTAATAATAATAGTAGTAGTAGTACTAGTAGTGGTAGTAGAAGTAGCGTTTATTAAATTGATTTCGGGCACAACTATTCAAAAGCTATTTTTATTCTCGCTGCTCATAACGAGGTATAATTTACTGTCAATTTATTGATCACAGAAAACCGGTCACCTGATTTCTTTTGATTAGATACCACAGTGAAGATTATTGACCAGGGGATAGCATTCGTATTCGGCCTTCTGATCGAGATCGCGAACACTGCCCCGTTTGACTTGATTCACATTACACACATCAGGTGACCCATCGATGAGAAGAATGAACATTGGAACTGATTTGACAGTCAGGTGAATAGGATCATGCACGAGGGTTGTTGCTGAGATCTGAACCAACTATCTGGCCCCGAGGGCACACAAAACTGTCATTGGCGTATTTTATTACAGTGAAATAAACAAAGCCGCGTCTGAGTAGCATTCCATCATTTTATTTAGCTAGTAATGCGGCTCAGTCAGATGTATCAAGAGAGCAATACGCAGCGGGCGGTGGTGGCCAAGTGGTTAGGTCACTAACTAGTGACCGGAGAATCCCGGATTCAAATCGCTCCACTGCCGCCCATCTTCCCTATATCTGTATTTTCCCCAGGTAGCCTTTGTATGGCCGCAGCCCCCTTCCTGAAAGTTGGCTATACATTTGTATATTCAATAAATAGAAAAGGAAGTAAAAATACATTTAGTTTATTATTTTTAGCGTATACCACTGCATTAGGCATTTTGCCCCAGTCCATCGTTGAATAAATATCCCTTTGAAAAAGAGCGAATATCATAGCAAATCTGTTAAGATTTTAATTTAAGCCTTGCGAATTTCACACTTGCGTGGATGTGAACTACGTGCTGATCAAATTGTTACAAGAATCCATCCGCGGTGACCATACTTTCAAGATGCTCAACTCAAAACACAAGTATTGATCGAACGCATGCANCTCTACATTTCAATACCAAAAGTTTTACAAAGGAAGGTGCATGGTATTACTGCACGCTACAAACACTATTCCCGTAGTAGTTTCCTTTTGGTTAAATGCCTTATAAACGTACAATTCGTGGATATCAACGGCAGTGTACTGTCATCTTAGGGACTGCCAACTATAGCATTCTACTAACTAATACCTTGCCGACGTGGAGGTGGAGTGGTTTGTAAAGAAGACAGTTCATTGGAGATCAGTGTCCAATCAGTTGAGTCTTACCTCTTCGAGATGTGGTTCAAACAACCAAGAAACCCAACACATCCCACTGTCTAGTCGAGCTATCATCTCAAAACCAGTTTGCACTCCGCTTCTTGTGAGGTTTAAATCAGAGTTTGTTTAGCTTCTCATGATGATTTGGTCAATTTCGTCGTGCATAGAGTAAGGAAAGCGTCAAATCACAAGATGGAAAGCACCGTACAACTGTTTGGACTTCCATCGGTCTCGTCAACAATAGAGATCGTTCGACCCAACCGAGGATCCGACTCGGGAACTTATAGGAAGAACGAGAGTATACTACCCACTTCCCAACCCCGAATTCGCTGACAGAGCCGTTTTCACTTTTTCTCAGATGTCAAAGGTGCTTAGATTTAGCACCGAGTCATAATCCTGGAGGTTATCGAACAGTTAGACGCTCGCAACAGGCTTCCAAAGATGGGCTGTGGTATACTGTGCATGGGCACAAATGACTGGTGGATGCTAAGTAAGCAGTCTGCTAGTGTTCCACCTGTGAGGTGCCCTGGGTTCACGACCCTCAACTGAGTCGACGGATTCACAGTACTGATAAGACCGAACAATTTCGAATCAGGTGTACAGTGCTTTCTAGGTTTTAACTTCATGTTTCGTATACTTCAAGCAAGATGAAATGCATCCTGTCACTGAATAATGGCCCTAGAAAACTCGCGTGTACCCTGGCAACCAGTACCTTATCATCGCGCTTTTAGTCCCGGACGTTAGTTATTCACGGTCTAATTTTGGTGTAAACACTCGCCAAAACAAGCAATTGTGCGATCTATGATTCACCTTGTTGATTCTATTAGAGAAGACGATCAACCATTTCTAAATGTGTATCGATTGGTTAGCATTTTGGTTAAGAAAAAAGAGAAGACAGATCATATTCGGAAGTGTACAAAAATTAAGCACTCGAAGGATAGCTGGTATGCGGTGATCATGCTTATCCGGACCTTTTGAAAGCCTACGATTCAATAAATCACCAGATACGGATGTATACGATTCAACTTTACCTCATTTGAGGTTTGGTGCTCGATAGTATTAAAGGTAACCCAGAAAACGGATCACACTCATTCCTGCTTTCCATCCGCTGTCCAGTTCTACTAACATGTACTTTAGCCCAGAAATTTTCTCACACTCACAAACAATCTACCGAGTGTTCTAGGACAGAAAACATCTCTGTTTACAAACGCCAAAATCTCGAATCCAATAACACAACATGAGGGCTCACTAGCACTCCAGGAAACAGTTTTTGTAGTTCATAAGTGGTCTCTAGAGAATGACATCCAATTCAATGTTTCTAAATGTAGAGTATCATCAATTCACCATTGGGTTAGATTCCCATATTTCCTCACAAACCAAAAACTACCACAGGTCTCAATTGAGAAGGATCTAGATATCAGTTTTTAAGATAATGTAAGCCATTCGGTCAATTGCCATGGGGCTTGGATCACAGCTGTAAAGAAGTTCGGTCTGCGTAGCATGTATTTGTTCAGTTTTAGCCAGCACCGTTAACCATTTTGATTTTAGTGTACGTACATTCAACTGAACATTCACAATGAGTATATAATCCAGGCCTGGAGAACACGAGTACAACAAGATCGTTGGATGATAGAACGTTCACAACGAATACGCATTTTCTTTTTTTCGTTTTTCATTTTTATTTCCCTTTATTGAATATACAAAGATACAATTTTCAGGAACGGGAGTCTGTCAGTCCAAGGGGCAATCATACAACGCGCAGAGAATGAGGTAAGTCAGGCGGTGGTGGTGGTGGGATTGGAACACATGTCCTCCGGGGTGATAATTTGGCGCCGACACCGCCGGATCACCACCGCCCATCGAGACGATCANCTACGTAGAAATGCGATATTTGAATGATACAGTGATGGTAACTGAACACATCCCCAACTACTTGCTAAATGCGATTACTCCATCTAACCAACCGGGCGCAAACGTGACACGCAGGCTGATATCAGCGATCGATCGCTGCTTGATTGGGAGTGGCTACTAGGTTACCCTAACTGATGAATCCTCTAGCACTATATGTCATCACGATCCACATCGATTGGAGGCTTTATCGATGGCCCCATTTAGGCCAACTATGAGCACCCAAACCCTTTCACACTATATCTAAACCTACTTTGGCTCTAACCAATCATCTTTAAACTCCTTTTTGAACAAGTCTCGCAGTAATCGCCTGTCATTTTTTAAATTGTCGTTTACTGCCTGGATGTTACACGTTTGCGGTCGATGAGTGTATACGAAAGGATTCCCTCTAGCAGCATGCGACTTCAATCATATCTGTTCAAATTTATCACGAGATATCAGTGTTTGAAGTGAAGCAGATATCTTGAACTTGTACAATGAATAGTGCTGGCTCTTTGTTCTCTATGTATGCCATTTGCCCAATCTACACGGTTTATCTCATGTTCTCGGTGGGTCGAAAAGTCGTCACCGACAAGTTGATCTATGGTTCTTACTCATTCTGGCTAATCCAAATTTCCGAAGACCTCAGTATGGCCGGAGGTGGGTGAATCGGGTTGCCGCTGATCATCCCTTTATTGAACCTCGCGAAATGCTCCCATAAGAAATCTAATTTTACCGCAAAATGTTCTGAGACTTGTTTATTTTGCACATTTTATTTAATGGCAAACACAAATAGGGTTAGTTTACTCTAAAAACACAAACCAAGAATCTCATTAAGGTTGCCTTAACATAAATTTTCTCGTATATAAATAATTTCAACTGAATAAATGTCTTTTTTCTTCCTTTTTCTATTTATTGGATATACAAATGTACAGTCAAGAGAGAAGATCCATGAAAAAAGAAGAATACTATGTTGAGCCTGGTTTGTTTATGGTTTGGCGGTATTTTATTGCATAAATTTTATAGCATAAATACAATGACACGGTTTATCTATGAGCCATCTGCCTGATAAATTCGATATATTGGCAAATCTTGAGGCTCTTGTTTATTTCCACAGAACCCCTTCACACCACCAGAGCAAAAGCAAAAATAAACCAATCAGGTGAGGAAACAATTCGCGGTTTGATCTGCAAGGTAGCTCCCCCTCCCACCCCGCACACGTACACGAACTGTGAGTGTTTCTCTGCCAAATATGGGACTTTGCGCAGTATCAGTTATTGAAGGACACTGATACGATGGCATAGATCATCAGACATCCTTTGTCTGGTCACATGACTAGGGTGTCTAATTTTGTCATACCAACACCCGTGTGAGGAGGGAGGCGTGACAAAATGAAAGGACCAAAATAAATTTGTCATAATTGGTCAAGAGCTCATTGTACTGGAGGAGTTGATCCGTTTACCTGGGGATTGAAGAATCCGGTCATCCAGTAACTGGCCGGT